TAGCCAGACCAAATTCCAGAAAAAACAAAGTTCAAACAGAGAATGGAAAGTGCTGGCAACGCTCAGCAGGTCAGGCAGTATCTGTGGAGGGTGAAAACCAGGAGTAACAGCTCCAGTTGGTCACTTTCCAACAGAGTTGAAGAGAAATATCAGAGAGAGCGACCCCAATCTTCCAGTCTGGACTGTTGGTGTACCTAAAAACACCCGCATCGGGAACCCTTCTGAGTCCTGACAGTGCAGGAATTCCCAGCAAAGATTAATCTTCTGATGGGCACTTTCCCTGTACCTCGAATCCTCAAAACATCTTCAGCTCAAAGTTTGAGTCAGAGACTTCAGAAGGCTTTGACTCAGCTACCTGGATAGTTACCAGGAAATGCTCGACAAACTAAACCCATTCCAATTCTGATGTGATTGTACAATTGATTCACTATCTCCCACAACAACTCCCCACTGGACCTGTCAAAGTTCTCACCTGACCCTCTAACATCTCCCCCCTCCATTTCCCTGACTACCCACTGATCTTCCGACTACTTTTGATCCAGCCCTAACTACTCTCCCTGACCTGACCCTGATTTCCCTCCCCGACCTGACCCTGACCCTGACCCTGATTACCCTCCCCGACCTGACCCTGACCCTGATTACCGTCCCCGACCTGACCCTGACCCTGACCCTGACCCTGATTACCCTCCCCAACCTGATCCTGACCCCGACCCTGACCCTGATTACCCTCCCCGACCTGACCCTGACCCCGACCCTGACCCTGATTACCCTCCCTGACCTGACCCTGACCCTGACCGCGATTACCCTCCCCGACCTGACCCTGACCCTGACCCTGACCCTGATTACCCTCCCTGACCTGATCCTGACGCGACCCCGATCCTGACCCTGATTACCCTCCCCGACCTGATCCTGACCCGACCTGACCCTGACCCTGATTACCCTCCCCGACCTGATCCTGACCATGTTTACCCTCCCCGACCTGACCCTGACCTGACCCTGACCCTGACCCTGGTTGCAGGTGACCGTGATCATCTGTTTGAGATTCTCTCTTTTTTACCAAATTAAGCAATCAGAAAATATAGGAAGATCGGAATTGGAGTAGGCCATTCAGCCCATTGACGCCGCTCCATCATTTGGTTAGATCATGGCTGATTATCTGCCACTTTCCCAAATCCCATGATGTCATTAGACACAGTATTCCAGCTGTGGGTCTGACTCGGTTCTTTAATGTGAAGACAAGTTCAAGCACGGGAAAGTGAGGTGAATAGAGACAAGTCGGGTCTCTGGATTTAGTGACATATAATGAAGCAGACTTGATAAGGGAGCTTAAGGTGAAGGAGCCCTTAGGAGGCAGTGACCATAATATGTTAGAATTTACTCTGCAGTTTGAGAGGGAGAAGCTGGAATCTGATGTAACGGTATTACAGTTGAATAAAGGCAACTACAGAGGCAGTAGGGAGGAACTGACCAGAATTGACTGGGAGAGGAGCCTAGCAGGAAAGACAGTGGAACAGCAATGGCAGGAGTTTCTGGGAGAAAGTTGGGAGACACAGCAAAATTTCATCCCTAAGAAAAGGAAGCATACCGAAAGGGGAATGGGGCAACCATGGCTGACAAGGGGAGGCGGGGACAGTATAAAAGCAAAAGAGAAAGCATATAATGTGGCCAAGGGCATTGGGAAACCTGAGGATTGGGAAGCCTACAAACACCAACAGAGGACAATGATAAAAGAAATAAGGAGAGAGAAGATTAAATATGAGGTAAGCTAGCCGGTAATATAAAAGAAGATTGCAAGAGTTTCTTTATTTATATAAAGGGCAAAAGAGGCAAAAATGGACAATGGACTGCTGGAAAATGACACTGGAGAAGTAGTAATGGGGAACAAAGAAATGGCAGAGGAACTGAATAAGTATTTTACGTCAGCCTTCATGGTGGAAGACATGAGTAATATCCCAAAAATTCAAGAGCGTTGGGGCAGAGGTGAGTATAGTGGCCATCACAAGGAGAAGGTGCTAGAAAAACTGAAAGGTCTGAAGGTGGATAAGTCACCTGGACCCGATGGACTACACCCCAGAGTTCTGAAGGAGATAACTGAAGAAATTGTGGAGGGGTTAGTGGTGATCTTTCTGAAATCACTGCAGTCAGGGAGGGTCCCAGGCACTGGAAAAATCACTAATGTAACCCCCCTGTTTCAGAAAGGAGTAAGGCAAAAGCCTGACTTCAGTTGTTGGTAACATTTTGGAGTCCGGGTCACAGGCTTGCTCGCCGAGCCGGTGGGATTGGTTGCAACTATTTCGTCACCCTGCTAGGTAACACCATCAGTGCGCCTCCAGTGGTTGGCATTGCTCCAGTTCTGTTCTTCAGTGGTTTGTATATGAAGACCAGTTCAATGTGTTTGTTAACAGAGCTCCAGTTGGAATTTTTATTTGTTAACAGGATGAGGGCGTCACTAGCTAGGCAGCATTTATTGCCCATCCCTAATTGCCCAGAGGGCAGTTAACAGTCAACCACATTGCTGTGGGTCTGGAGTCACATGTAGGCAAGACCTGGTAAGGAGGGCAGGTTTCCTTCCCTAAAGGGCATTAGTGAACCAGATGGGTTTTTCTGACAATTGACAATGGATTCATGGTCATCATTAGATTCTTAATTCCAGATGATACAAAGATAGGTAGAGGTACAGGTAGTGTTGAGGAGGTGGGGAAGCTGCAGAAAGATTTAGACAGATTAGGAGAGTGGGCAAAGAAATGGCAGATGGAATACAACGTGGGAGAGTGTGAAGTCATGCACTTTGATAGGAAGAATAGAGGCATGGCCTATTTTCTAATGGGGAGAAAATTTTAAAAATCTGAAGTGTGAAGGGAATTGGGAGTCCTAGTCCAGGTTTCTCTTAAGGTGAACTTGCAGGTTGAGTCTGTAGTTAGAAAGGCAAATTCAATGTTGGCATTTATTTTGTGAGAACTAGAATGTAAAAACAGGAGTATAATTCTGAGGACTTATAAAGCTCTGGTGAGACCACATTTACAGGTTTTTGAGCAAGTTTGGGCTCCATATCTCAGGAAGGATGTGCTGGCCTTGGAGCGGGTCCAGAGGAAGTTCACGAGAATGATCCCAAGAATGAAAGGCTTAACAAATGAGGAACGTTTGAGAACTCTGGGTCTATACTCGATGGACTTTAGAAGGATGAGGGGGGATCTAATCGAAACTTACAGAATACTGAACAGCCTGGACAGAGCGGATGTTGGGAAGATGTTGGAGAGAGTAGGAACCGAGGACACAGACTTAAAGTAAAGGGAAGACCCTTTAGAACGGAAATAAGGAGAAACTTCTTCAGTCAGAGGGTGGTGAATCTATGGAACCCACTGCCACAGAAGGCTGTGGAGGCCAGGTCATTGAGTACATTTAAGATGGAGATAGATAGGTTCTTGATTGTCAAGGGGATCAAGAGTTACAGGGAGAAAGTGGGAGAATGGGGTTGAGAAACTTATCAGCCATGGTTGAATGGCGGAGGGACTCGTTGGGCTGAATGGTATTATTTCTGCTCCTATGTCTTGTGGTCTTATGGTCGTTTCTAATGAACCCAGACCAAAACTTGCCTTCAAACAACTTTTAGACCCTTTATCGAGTGGCTTTTAGCATAGAATTTAATCCATTGCTCTGCCGCAGAATTGGAGGAATGCTGCATTGCTGGAGGTGTTGTCTTTTGGATGTGATGTTAAACTGAGGTGGCCGTATAAATGATCTCTGGGAGTTTTCAAAGGAGAGCTGCAGATTTTCACCCACTGTCCTGGTCAATATTTCATTATTTAAGCCTTTTAAGGTTTGCTGATGAGGTTACTGAGGACCTGGAAATTCAACTGGAATGAACAGATCAGAAACCTCAACTAGAACAAGCAATTAGGTGTCCAACAATAATCTCCTCTCAGGTAGCTGCCACCTACAATCAAGTCACAACGATCAGTTTCACAGTAACCCCAGTGTCTTGAGTGGATGGACCATTGTCCTTTGGCCCTTCTAAATTGGATAATGTTAATTTCAGACATAGTGAAACTGAAAAGTCCCATCTGATCTTGGTCCATGTTGGTCTGGTAACCACTCTGTAGAAACACTGTGACCAATACATACATAGCAAGGTCTCACAAATAGCAATATGATCAATGATAAGTTGCCCTGTTTTATCGATGTTGCTTTGAGGAATGCATTTTGGCTGAGGCACCAGGAGATCTCCTGATGTGTTTGTAATGGCCCTGGAAGCCTGGATGCACCCAGAAATGCTCAGCTGATTTCCGAATGTGCATTGTGATTTGATTTGATTTGATTTATTATTGTCACACGTACGAAATACAGTGAAAAGTATTAATTTGCGTGTACACCAGACAAGTCATACCTTACATAAGTACATCAGGGTAATAGAACACAAATACAGAATATAGTATTACAGCGACAGAGAAGGTACAGAAAAGTATCAATTCTAACATATGAGAGATCTGTTCATAAGTCTGATAACAGCAGAGAAGAAGCTGTTCTTAAATCTGTTGGTATGTTTTTTCAAGCTTTTGTATCTTCTGCCCGATGGAAGAGGGTGGAAGACAGTATAACCAGGGTGGGGGGTGGGATCTTTGATTATGTTGGCTGCTTTCCCAAGACAGTGGGAAGTGTAGACAGAGTCAATGGACATGGTTTGCATGATGGACTGGGCTGTGTTCACAACTCTCTCTGATTTCTTGCGATCTTGGGCAGAGCATTTACCACATCAAACTGTGATGTATCCAGATAGAATGCTTCCTGTGGTGTATCTATAAAAATTGGTAAGACTTCTTGCGGACATGCCAAATTTCCTTATCCTTCTGAGGAAGTAGAGTGTGCTTTCTTGACTGTAGCATCAAGGTGGATGGGCCAGGACAGATTGTTGCTGATATTTATACCTTGGAAGCTCTCAACCACTCTACCTCAGCCATAGTGATACATATGCCATAAGTCATATATTGTCTGGTCTTGTGCAGGTATGAGATGGAACACAAACAGAACATGGAGCTACAGTGCACAGTTCAGCAGCTGCGACATAAACTGGAGAGACAACAGGAAAATCATTGTCAGGTCAGCACATTTCAATGGCACAAAACTTACACATGTATGAAATAGAGTAGGAGTAGGCCACTGAGCCCTTTGGGCCTGCTGCATTCTTCAATAAGGTTAAGACATATCTGAATCTGGCCTACATGTGACTCCAGACCCACAGCAATGGCATTGGCTGCCCTCTGGGCGATTAGGGATGACCAATAAATGCTGGCCTAGCCAAAGACACCCTCATCTCAAGAATGAATAATGAAAAAAATTCCTGTTGACCTCCAATAACCTTTCCTGCCCTTGCTTATCAAAAATCTATCCACCTCTGCCTTAAAAATACTTAGACTCTTGCTTCTGTCCCCTTTTGAGGAAGAGAGTTCCAAAGACTTACTGCCTTCTGTAAAGAAAAAAAGTTCTCTTCATCTGTGTTGACCCATTATTTTGGAACAGTGGTCCCTAGCTGTAGATTCTCCCATGAAATGAAACATCTGTTCCAAAGCTACTGTGCCTCGACCCCTCGGGATCTTATAAGTTTCAACCTGGTCACCTCCTAATCTCTAGCAGATACAGGCCAACCTTTCTTCATACGACAACCTGCCCATTCCAGGTATTAGTCCAGAAGACCTTCTGAGAACTGCTTCCATTCTGTCCTCCAGATGTACCCTTGTAAAAGGAAGTAAAGAACTTACATTTGAATAGGCCCTTTCACCTCAACATGTCCCATTGCTTTACTGTTATAATTTAGTCACTGTTACGAAAATGTGCGAAAACTGTCAGCCAATGTGTGCACAGCAAGATCCCACCAACGAAAACAACTTCAATGATAGATAACCGATTATCCTGCTGTTGGTTGACAACTAAACTTCAGCCAGGATGCCGGAGAAATTTGCAGCACTTCTTTGAACATTCCCAGGGAATCTTTGACATCCACCTCAATTTAACCGCACATTGGAAAACGTACCTCCAACCATGTAGCACACCCCCAATACTGAGGGAACAAAGGGTATGGGGAGAAAGCAGGAACGGGGTACTCAGTTGGATGATCAGCCATGATCATAACGACGGCGAAACAGGCTCAAAGGGTTGAATGGCCTACTCCTGTTCCTATTTTCTGTGTTTCTATGTTCAGTTCAGCAGAATATTGCCCAAGTTGATATGTTTAAGTCTCTGGCATGGGCCTTGAACCCATCCTCCTGAATTCGAGATCAGAGAACTAGCACTCAGGCACAGTTGAGGGCAGCTTTGAGACTGGGCCCAAAACAGGTACAATCTTGGTGGAACCTTGGGTACCAAAGGCCACAGTCTGGATGCCATGAATTCTAGATCTTCGCCATCAACCTGTCCAGAGAGGTTACAACATGTGTCTGCTGCATTGAACTAAGACCTTCTGGTTCAGAGGGAGGGACACTACCACAGCACCGACTTCACTAGGAATTATACCCCAGTTTAGGTGTCATTGGTGAGCTGTATAGGAGAAATGGGAATTGACTGCCATTTGCTGGATCATTTCTCGATGGGAGCTGCTGACAAACAGGGCTCCTTAAACTGGGCGGAAGGGAGTGCGGGAATAGAATGTGGATCCCAATGGATCCCAAACATCACCATCGAGCAAACGATACATGGTGGTCCCTGTCCGTGACTGTAATGTTGCTCTGGCTTTGAAAATATACCCCTAAATGCTTCACTCCCAAGTGGCATTTCTTCCCTATTTATCTGAGTCTGGAGCCCATGTAAAACCTAGGAATTAGTTTGATGTAATTGACAGTCGCTGTTGAAGGTGTGCATCCCCAGAGGAGTGAAAGTTAAAGTGCTTTGTGTTTAATTGGGTGACTTATTTAGGTGCTCTGGTTTAAAATGATGCAGTCAATCAAGTTAAGCATTTTGTCGGTGCAGAATGCACCCAGCATTGTACTGTCAACATTAATCTGTGCTGAGGGAACAGCCTAATATCAGCTAAATCTAGATTCGATCGGCTGCAGTAATGGAGCATGGAGCTTATCTATTTCCCTTAGAGAAGCACCCCAGGGGTTTCATGGCAGAAGGCTGTTATCGCTGACCCGCCAATAAAATTTGATTAAGGCAGCACAGCACAATCCCAGCAGGTTAACACAGCGAGGGTTCTAGTGACGACAAGGTGCAGGGCTGGATGAACACAGCAGGCCAAGCAGCATCATAGGAGCAGAGAGGCTGACGTTTCGGGCCTAGACCCTTCATCAGAAAAGGGGGAGGGGAAGGGGGTTGTGAAATAAATAGGGAGAGAGTGGGAGGCGGATAGAAGCGGGATAGAGGAGAGGATAGGTGGAGAGGAAACAAACAGGTCGAAGAGGCGGGGATGAAGCCAGTAAAGGTGAGTGTAGGTAGGGAGTTAGGAAGGGGATAGGTCAGTCCAGGGAGGACAGACAGGTCAAGGGGGCGGGATGAGGTTGGTCAGTAGGAGATGTGTAGTGAGATGTGAGGGATACACAGCCATGCAATAAAATATTATTGTACATCAGTGCTAGACATGGTATGTAATTGTCTCAATCATTCTTGTACCTGTTCTGAATTACTATGGTTCTTCATGAATAATGGCCCTTTCACACTAAATTTTACTCTCCATTCGAAAAAACCAATTGTATTTATACAGTTCCCTGAATGTAAGAAAGCATCCCAAAAACTCTGTGAAGAAGTTGGCAAATGTTGTGTTTTTGGAGCAGAGACATTTTGGTGCTGGGCAATGGAACCACTATTGAGAAAGAATGATTTTCTCTCTGCACAATTTTGGTTTCAGATGATATTGATCATCTGTCCATAAGATTCCCCCTTTAAGATACTAACTTAATAATCGGCGATCGGAAAGTATAGGAAGATAGGAACTGAAGCAGGCCATTTAGCCCAGAGACCCTGCTCCATCATTCATTTAGATCATGGCTGATCATTTACCTCAATGCCACTTTCCCAAAACCCTATGATGTCATTCGTGTCCAGAAATCTAAGGATTTCTGTTTTGAACTTAATAATTGAGCTACCTTTGGGGTCAAGGATTTCAACAATTCACCACCCTCTGAGCGAAGAAATCCCTCCTCATCCCCATTTTAAATGACTACCCCTCTGCGAGATATTGTGTCCCCTGGTTTTAGACTCAGTAGACAGGAGGGGCATCTTACAAACAGCCCTGTATGCCATGTACAAACTCTTAAAATTCCAATGAAATCACCTCTCACTCTTTGCAACTCTAGGGCCTCCATCACTTAGACTGTGATTGACTGGTTCGATCACAGAGTCTTTTATGGTCGATTTCACTGCTTGTCTGTGTTCCCTCACCACTGCATGCTAATCTTCACACCAACTCTGTCTGAGTAAAATGCATGTTCTTTGCCAGCTTCTTGCATCATGTTTCAGTTTGGACCAGACGGACTGTCGTTGCAGGGTAAAGCCAGTTCTGTGTGGCAATGTGAGCAAATGAATAAGAAATGTGCCACAGAACTGATGTGTGAAGCCGGGATATTGCAATTAGTAGAAACATGGGAGGTCATTCAGCCCATCATGTCTATACAGACTCTTGCAAGAGTAGTTCAGCCAATCCCGCTCCTCTATCCATTTTCTGGAGACCTGCAGGTTATTTTTCCCTTCAGTTCCTTATCTAAAAGCTCTGTGAAGGATGAAGAAAAGTTATGACAAATACTGCTGCGCCCCACATCCAAATCCAAAAAACTCAAGCCGACCAGGGGCTCCAGAAGTGACCCCCGTGCCTCCACATTGAAAGCAACAGCGACTTTCTGAGTGCTCCAGGGGCACTTTGGAAATATTCCCAACCTTTCACCATTAAGGAAATGTTCTGGCATTCTGCCAAAATGGAAAATGTCACACCTCTTCACGTTATATTCCATCTGCCATGTCCTTTCCCACTTCCTTAGTTATTTTAATCAACCTGTTCAGACATGCTATGACACGTAGGATGTGAACCCAGGCCTTCTGGCCTAGAGGCTGGGACACTACCACTGAACTACAAGACACTGTTGTGCATTCCCTTCGCTTCTCCAAATTCACTTGAAGCTTCTTTGCACAAGGTACATTCCCATCTTGATTTGTGCCATCAGCAAGTTTGGGAACATTACAATTGGACCCTACAGCCAAATCATTTATAGAGATTATAAACATGTGTGGACCCAGTACCGATCCTAGCAGTATCCCACTAAGAGGCTGCCATCTTGAGAATGATTGCTTGTTCCTGTAGTCTACTTTCAGTCTGTTAACCCATTCTCAATCTCTTCTAATATATTTCCCTCAATCCCATGTGTTTTAATTTGATAAATGTTCAACCATGGCTTGTCTCTGACAAATGCAGCACCTTCATTGTGAATCACTCAGAATCTGAACCATTCTTGTGCCGATCATTAAAATTCATTTGTGGTCTGAGTTGCCGCCATTAAATTTGTCAAAATTCTAATCAGTCTAGGGCCTTTACTTGTTTAACCATAAAGGCAGGCACTATCAAGTCACATTTAAGGTCATAAATACACTTTGAAACTTGATGTTTTTAACAAGCCAAATATACCAATCGATAAAGATGAATGGATTGTTTTTCAGCTTGTCTACCTGGTAGCATTCTTTGCCCAGTAACAGTTTCCCCTGCATTTCCAGGATATGATTTGTATGAGAGAGAAGGCTGCCGAAGCAGATCATTTGATTCAGGAACTGGAAGAAAAGTTGAGAAGGCCGAGCGACGATGACGGTGGTGCCATGAAGATGCTCCAGAAAATCCGCGAGGCGAACAATGCCGAGATCAAACAGTACCAGCGACAAACAGAACAGGCCTATAATCAAAACGTAAGCTCTACTTCATATGATTGTAGAATCTTACAGTATGCAAGGAGGCCAATCTGCCTGTGGAATCGGAAGCTAGTCTTGGTAACTATTGCCAAGAAATTATCATTGACGTGGTGTAAAATCTTGTCTGGTTCACTCATGTCCTTTAGGGAGAGAAATCTGCCCCCTTTATCTGGTCTGACCTACATGTGACTCCAGACCCACAGCAATGTGGTTAACTCTTAATTACCCTCTGAAATGGCCTATTAAGTCACACATTTCAAGGGCAATTAGGGATGGGCAATGAAAGCTGGCTTTGCCCTGCCTCCCAAAAATGGATAATTAGAAACTTTATTCAATTTCCCTTTGAAAGCCACAATTATATCTGACCCCCACCATTCCCTCAGGCAGGTCCCCAACCTGGGTTTGAAAGTCCGTCCCCTTGTACCTAGGCAGATTTATTACCAGGTCGTTCCTTTTTCAGTCTTTGTAAAAGTTTACATCCATGTGTCTGGGTGGCACAGTGGCTCAGTAGGTTAGCACCGCTGCCTCAAGGTGTCAGGGACCTGGTTCAATTCCAACTTTGGGTGACTGTCTGTGTGGAGTTTGCACATTCTCCCTGTGTCTGCGTGGGTTTCCTCCAGGTGCTCCAGTTTCCTCCCACAGTCCTAAGGTGTGCAGGTTAGGGTGGATTAGAACATAGAGCAGTACAGGCCCTTCGGCCCTCGATGTTGCGCCGACCTGTGAAACCAATCTGAAGCCCATCTCACCTAAACTATTCCATTATCATCCATATGTTTATCCAATGACCATTTAAATGCCCTTAAAGTGGGCGAGTCTACTATTTTTGCAGGCAGGGCATCCCACGCCCTTACTACTCTCTGAGTAAAGAACCTACCTCTGGCATCTGTCCTATATCTACCACCCCTCAATTTAAAGCTATGTTCCCTCGTGCTAGCCATCACCATCGGAGGAAAAAGGCTCCCACTGTCCACCCTATCTAATCCTCTGATCATCTTGTATGTCTCTATCAAGTCACCTCTTAACCTTCTTCTCTCTAACGAAAACAGCCTCAAGACCCTCAGCCTTTCCTCATAAGACCTTCCCTCCATACCAGGCAACATCCTGGTAAATCTCCTCTGCACCCTTTCCAATGCTTCCACATCCTTCCTATAATGCGGTGACCAGAACTGTACGCAATACTCTAAGTGCGGCCGCACCAGAGTTTTGTACAACTGCAACATGACCTCATGGCTCCGAAACTCAGTCCCTCTACCAATAAAACCTAACATACTGTACGCCTTCTTAACAACGCTATCAACCTGGGTGGCAACTTTCAGTGATCTATGCACATGGACCCCGAGATCTTTCTGCTCATCCACACTACCAAGAATCTTACCATTAGCCCAGTACTCTGTATTCCTGTTACTCCTTCCAAAGTGAATCACCTCACACTTTTCCACATTAAACTCCATTTGCCACCTCTCAGCCCAGCTCTGCAGCTTATCTATGTCCCTCTGTAACCTGCAACATCTTTCCGCACTATCCACAACTCCACCGACTTTGGTGTCATCCGCAAATTTACTAACCCATCCTTCTACGCCCTCATCCAGGTCATTTATAAAAATGACAAACAGCAATGGCCCCAAAACAGATCCTTGAGGTACACCACTAGTAACTGAACTCCAGGATTAACATTTCCCATCAACCACCACCCTCTGTCTTCTTACAGCTAGCCAATTTCTGATCCAAACCGCTAAATCACCCTCAATCCCATGCCTCCGTATTTTCTGCAATAGCCTACCATGGGGAACCTTATCAAACGCTTTACTGAAATCCAAATACACCACATCAACCGCTTTACCCTCATTCACCTGTTTGGTCACCTTCTCGAAGAACTCAATAAGGTTTGTGAGGCACGACCTACCCTTCACAAAACCGTGTTGACTATCCCTAATCAAATTATTCCTTTCTAGATGATTATAAATCCTATCTCTTATAATCCTTTCCAACACTTTACCCACAACCGAAGTAAGGCTCACTGGTCTATAATTACCAGGGTTGTCTCTACTCCCCTTCTTGAACAAGGGGACAACATTTGCTAGTCTCCAGTCTTCTGGCACTATTCCTGAAGACAATGATGGCATAAAGATCAAAGCCAAAGGCTCTGCAATCTCCTCTCTAGTTTCCCAGAGAATCCTAGGATAAATCCCATCCGGCCCAGGAGACTTATCTATTTTCACACCTTCCAGAATTGCTAACACCTCCTCCTTATGAACCTCAATCCCGTCTAGTCTAATAGCCTGTATCTCAGTATTCTCCTCGACTACATTGTCTTTTTCCTGTGTGAATACTGACGAAAAATATTCATTTAGCACCTCTCCTATCTCTTCGGACTTCATGCACAACTTCCCACTACTGTCCTTGACCGGCCCCAATCTTACTCTAGTCATTCTTTTATTCCTGACATACCTATAGAAAGCTTTAGGGTTTTCCTTGATCCTACCTGCTAAAGACTTCTCATGTCCCCTCCTGGCTCTTCTTAGCTCTCTCTTTAGGTCCTTCCTGGCTAACTTGTAACTCTCAAGTGCCCTAACTGAGCCTTCACGCCTCATCTCTACATAAGCCTCCTTCTTCCTCTTGACAAGAGTTTCAACTTCTTTAGTAAACCACGGTTCCCTCGCTCGACCACTTCCTCCCTGCCTGACAGGTACATACTTCTCAAGGACACGCAGTAGCTGTTCCTTGAACAAGCTCCACATTTCAATTGGCTATGATAAATCACCCATAGTATTCAGGATGTGCAGGCTAATTGGGTTAGCCATGGGAAATGCAGAGTTACAGGGATAGGGTGGGTCTGGGTGGGATGCCCTTCAAAGGGTTGGTGTGGATTTGATGGAATGAATGGCCTGCTTCCACACTATAGGGATTCTATGATTCATGCAGACTGGGCCTCAGTTTATCGTCTTTTATGAAAGACGGTGTCTGACACAGTGCAGCCCTTCTTTAGGAGAGATGGGTGTGTACTTGAACTATGTTTCTGAGCAGCACATTTGAAGCCACTTCAGTCTCAGAACTGAGCATGAGACCACAAGATATATTGTAAGTTGCTATCAGGAATCCATCACTACACCAGTTGCGAGCTTGCTAAAGGTTATTACTGCTGTGATAATGAGGTTTAGAGTTACTGTCCTTTTGACACCCGCAAATTAATTCTCATCCTAGCTGATGGAACTGAGCATGTGCCTCAATAAGGAACATATCCAATTGGAGCAAATTCAGGAGGAAAACCAGTGTCTGCGCCAGCACATTAATAACCTGTCGACTGAAATTAAAATGCTGCAAACTAAGGTCAGTGAGAGTCCAAGGAAATGAGACAGGTTGACCAGTCTGGTCAACACATTAAGGAACATTAAGAAAATGGAACATTACGGAAATGGGAGGTCATTTAAATTGTTAGATGTGTCCCGTCAGACAACTAGACGATGGATGGTCTGGGCCTCATCTGCATTCCTTCACCTTCAGTCCCAAATCCTTTGACATCTGCACACAACAAAAATATATCCATCTCAATCTTGGAAGCTGTAGCTGACTTGCAGGCTCTCAGGGACAGAGAATGCCAGATTTGCACTCGCATTTGGTGTGGAAATCTGCTTCCTGATCCCATTCCAGAATGAACTTTCTCCCATTTTTCAAAAGGAAATTGTTTTGTTTTCCCTGTGTCTACCCTTTCAAAGCATTGTTGTGTTTTAAACGCCTGGAGCAAATCACATCCTCAGTACTCAAGGGAGTGGCCTCACAAGAACGCAGATCTGTGTCGCGCTGTCACAGGTAAATTGGAGTCATCTCTGACTCCAGCATCCACACTGTGTTATCAGTTCTGCAGAAGGGTCACCGGACCCAAAACGTTAACTCTGTTTTCTCCTCCAGAGATGCTGCCAGACCTGTTGAGCTTTTCCAGCAACTTTGTTTTTGTTCCTGTGTTATCTCTGACACCAGCACCTGCAGTTTCTACTATCTTTCAGAAACCGGAGTTGTGTCTGAGTTGGCACTGTCGCATTCTTCCGTTAATTATCAATGTATCAATCATATGACAAGGACTGGTAAAACAAGAATGTGAGTTCCTTATTTGAAAGTACAACTGGGAGGCATATCTGACCTATAGGACTCTAGCTCCATTTTGGCTACAGAGTAAATAACTTATATACCACATCCTGTTATGGATAAGGTCAGAAATTACACGACACCAGGTTATTGTCCAACAGGTTTATTTGAAAACACAAGCTTTCAGAGTCTCGCTCCTTCTTCAGGTGTTATAACCCAGTGTCGTGTGATTTCTGACCTTGTCCACGCCTGTCCAACACCAGCACCTCCACATCACTGTAATGGATGGTTATGGACACATTTAAGATATTGTCCCTTAAAGGGACATCACACCAGGCACAAGTGCAGTGAAGCCTGAGGATTGAGGAGGTCCATTTTCCTTCACTTCTGAGTCAGTTTGAATCTTTACAGCTGAGTGTTCATCTCAGGCAGAAGAAGAATGTTCCGAACATCCAAGCCCTAGTTCAGGCCTTGTTTAACCTGAGATTGTGAGACAACGGCCATTCCAAGTTGTGTAAGAACATCTACTCTTAGGAGCAACCAAAAAAATGCTTTAAATGTGATTTTTCATTTAAAGAAAACCCAACAGATTATTAACCAAAAACAGACTGAATATTTGTTGTTAATAGAAGAGTATTTGGACAGACAGGAAATCCAGTCCCGAAAAAGTAGAGACAAATGCAATCCCAGTCACAGCTTCCTGCAAATCACAGTCAACATCAATGAATTATATTGTAAGGTTTAACTAATGTGCCTTGTGTTTGTATGGACTACACTAGACTGATGTGGGGGCCAGTATGAGACAGATTCTTGGTGACTTCTGATGAATCACTCTGTATTTACACGGTGTTGTCTGTGCAGAGTGGATATTAAGGCTGAATCCAGAGCTGGGGCCTGTCCTCATAATAACAATTGGTGTTTGTGCAGCTCCTTTGACATTGTGAAACATCTCATGGCACTTTGCAGGAGCATAAAACAAGTAAGACGTGACACAAGCCACATGTTTGTGGTCAGGGAGACATTCCCTGCTTCCCACATCAAATCCTTACAGTGTGGAAGCAGGCCATTTAGCCCATCATGTCCATACCAACTCTCCAAAGAGCATCCCACCCAGACCCAAATCCCTACCCCTACATTTCTCATGGCTAAGCCATCTAACCTACACATCCCTGGACACTATGGGCAATTTAGCATCTTACACATCTTTGGTCTGTGGGAGGAAACCGGAGCACCCAGATGAAACCCCACACAGACATGGGGAGGACGTGCAAACTCCACACAGTCACCCGAGGGTAGAATCAAACCCGGGTCCCTGGCACTGAGAGAGGCAGCAGTGCTAACCACTGAACCTCTGCGCCACCATTCGCAGGAGATGTTTCTGCCTTGAGTCACTAGGGTCAGCGTTATTGAGCTGGAGTGGGGGTTAGAGACACAAACACCAGGAAAAAAAGAACACATCCTGGATAATCTCGGCATAAAGCAGCCCCATCCCTAAGGGATACAAAGGTTCAGGAAAAAGAAGGTTTGACAGTGAAGAACTCAGAAGCAGGGTGTCTGCAGAGGACGAGAAAGAGGTCCCAGAAGTAGCGTTCTATTCAAGAGGTACTTGCTACCTTAAAAACAGGGAGAAAGACTCTGGGGATAACATCCACAGCACCCTGGCTAAGAGGGTTGAAGAGCAAATCATGAATGAGACAGTGAATTAGATAGAATCCTACATAATCATAAATGAGAGTCCCAAAGGCTGTTGCCTGCCTGATACCAGATCAGACATATCTTGTAGTGCATGAAGAGGAATTTGTAAATAGGGAGTTAGTTCAATTATCATGCTCCATACAGAATGGGTCACAATCTCAGGATAAGGGGTAAGCCATTTAAGACTGATCTGAGAGGTTTCTTCACTCAGAGGGTAGAGAATCTTTGGAATTCTCTACAGCAGAAATCTGTGGCAGCTCAGACATTGGGCAGGTTCAAGTCATTCATTGATAGATCTTTCTAGTTACTAATGACATCAAGTTATTTGGACAATTTCTGTGATCGGGTTTGTGTGGAAAGGTTCAGCAGGTTGTACCTGTACTCACTGGAGTTTGCTACAATGAGAAGTGATATAAAACATGTAAAGTCCTGATGGGACTTAATCGTGCAGATCCTGAGAGAATTTTTCCCCTTGTATGGCTAAGTCTAAAACTAGTGAGTGCAGTTTAAGAATCCGAGTCGCCCATTTAAAACTGAATGAGGTGGAATTTCTCCTGTCCGAGAGTCTTTGGAATTCTCTGAACGGTGGAGGCTGGGTCATTCGAATATCCAAGATTGAGTTAGACAGATTTTTGATTGATGAGGGAGTCCAGGGTTATGGGAGAGAGGCAGGAAAATGGTATTTGATCAAATCTGATCAAACAGCACCTAATTGAATGGCAGTACATGCTCAATGGGCCAGATGGCCTACTCCAATTCTCGTGAGCTTGTGGCGGAGCTAGAGATCCTACTGAGGAAATATTGGAACTTAGGAGCTGAATTTAGAAGTTGGATCACAAAGGAAATAATGATTTGTCCAAGCTACACGCAAATTGGTATAGGGAATTACAAAAAGAGAACATAACTGAAGGTCTGGGGCGGGTAAAGGGGGTCCATTATCGAAGAACACTGGTATCAATTCTGAGAAAGGAAAGGACAGTATTGATGAAACAGCCTCCGACTGTAGCAGAACAGGATGTGCATCCCAGCAGAAAGAGTAAGTTGGGAGAGGCAAAGGCTGTAAATCTAGTATGGTGAGGTTGGAATGTACAAGGAATGAACTGGTCTTGCAAAATATAAAACAGGAATAAAAAGCATAGGATGTACAATAATAAGGACACGAATTGCCAAGGAATAAACAGAATCATAGGACAGGAAGCTAAAATACTCAGTACAATTAGGAAGAGGAACTGCTATGAGAAATGAATCAGTAATCAGCACACCGTTTGTAATGCAACAGGAGAACTCAAGGCGATAATAAATTGCGATGGACGCGTACAGTTGGGATTATTGAGAGAATCCTTTGGAAAAGTCAACACTGGCAATGAAACATCGCCAAATATATAACATGTTTAGAAATAATAGAGACGGCAAAGGGGGATGTGAAGTAGCTGTGCTTTTTATGAATAATAGTGACAATAGAAAAGAAATGATGCAGTCATCAATAAAACAGATGGATAATTCATCTATCCAGAGATAAGAAAACAATGAAGGATCAATATACAATTGACAGAGATAGTCTACAAGACTATCAAATAGTGGAAGTAATGTTGAACAGGAACAATTCAAAGAAATTAGAGAATTGAGTAAAAATAAAGGAAGATAATAGTGGGGACTCACTCCACCATTGGCAGAATACCTGCAGCTCCAAATACAAATCAGCTGTCCACTTCTTTTGAAGAGTTCTGCAGTCTGCATCCAGTGCTATCACTGGAAAAATGCTCTAGATGCAAAACTCCACGAGGCAACTATACTTCACAACTCACTGCAGCTTTCCTGGCATCCTCATTTCCCAGCCCGCCATCTAGAAAGAAGGTCAGACAACTTCTCTCCACGATGTTTTCACTTGTATGGCAATGAGTATAACTAGGCGATGGCCTCATGGCATTAGGGGAGGTGATGGTTTAGTGGTATTTTCACAAGACTATTAATTCAGAGGCAACAAAACCAGAAGTTACTGGAAAAGCTCAGCAGGTCTGGCAGCATCTGTGAAGAAAAAAATCAGAGTCAACGTTTCGGGTCCAGTGACTCTTGCTCCCTTTTGTTCCTGATTTACAGCATCTGCAGTTCTTTCGGTTTTTATCATTTCAGAGGTTCAGGTAATATTCTGGGGACCCATATTTGAATCCCGTCACTGTAGATGGTGAACTTGAATTGAACAAAAATCTGGAATTAAGTGTCTTATGATGACCATGAAATCATTATCGATTATCGGATAAATGTGTTTGGTTTACTAACGTCCTTCAGGGAAGGAAACTGCTGTCCTTACCTGATCTGACCTACATGTGGCTCTAGAGCTACAGCAAAGTGGTTGACACAGGATGAGCAATAAATGCTAGCCTGGCCAGCAATGCCAAGAATGAATTTAAAGAAAACCGTGGGAGCTACTGATATAAGATAGTCAGCAAGAAATCCATTTGGGAATTTGACCTAGAGAATCATTTGAGGGAGAGGGCCATTAAGAATCACAATCATATGGTTTGGATGAGGGAAAGATGGGAGGAGGCTTGAGT